TGGGGGGGGGGGGTTCCAGACACCTTTGTGAAGCTGACGAAAGCTGTATTTCTTCCTTTAAAAGTATTTGCATTCAAGTTTAAGGAATTTACAGACCCCCTAAAGCCCATCCACAACTCTTGTAGATTTATAGATGACAAATTTAAAAAACAAAATAATAAAACTGAGGAATAGCTTCATGTAGAGGACAGAGGAAGCACCCAAGGTAAGTTGAGAAGGGGTAATAAAAAGGAGGGAGAATTCCAAGAGAGAGTTATCAAACGAACAGAAAAGTATGTCGAGAATGGGAGCTAGATGCTGCTGAGAGGGCTAGCAAGATAAGGCCTGAAAAGCGTCCACCAGCCTTGGGAACAGCAGTGACCTACAGGAGGTCCTTGTGAAGGGTTAGCGCTCTCCCAGAAGGAGGCACTGGTCCTCTGCAAAACCTGCAGGGAGCGAGAAATACTGGATGCAGGTGTGGGGGAATATGTATATTATTTGGTGGTCCCTCTTGATGGTAGGGTTTTGTTTTGTTTTGTTTTTCCCCCCAGAGAAATAGGAGGTAAAGTGATGATGGTGGAGGGGAAGTCATACAAGGATGGGGGTTTTGAGGATGAAGGAGGTTGAAATAGCCTTTGTGGAAAGTAGAGTTAGAACGTATGGGGAAGGCTGTTGCTTATTTGCTATCTATTAACTGGGAGGGTTGTGATCATGGGCTTTGTCTTAAAGAGTGAGTAGGATCGGAGGAGGAAAGGGCTGGACCCAGCACGAACAGCAGCCCAGCCCAGAATCATCATGTGCGGGGAATCAATAAGCCTTCCAGAACTTCTCAGGGCTTGCCCCACTCTCCCTCTCTCTCCTTTTCTGGCTCAGTCTTTTCCAGCAGCCTATAAACATGCTCAAGCCTTTCCCGGTGACTCAGCATCTCCTCCCATCTGCATCCAAATTCTCTTCTTTCCATACCCAAAACATCTGTAGCAGGGAACTTTTGAAAATATTCAATGGCTCTTTTTCCTCCTATAGTTTCCCCTTGCCTGGGTGCGTGTTGCCTTACTCTTGGGCTTTTGGCTGCCTCTTGAAGTCTGGGGCTCGCCCTGGTCCTTTAGAATCAGGAGTGCACTGACAGATTGATGCTGGGTTCCCTGGATGTACACACGCAGCCAGAAGCCAGGGGAGCCTCTGCTGGATTTTAAAGAGGAGTGCATTTCAGAGCTCATTCTGGAGGCTGAGTGGAGAATGGGCCCGTCTGAAGGGGGTGGTTAGGAGGCTGCTGCAACAGGTCAGGATGGGAAGGGTGGCCGGAAGGCACGCCAGGGGGAATGGGGGTCGGGGTTCAAAGCTTATCAAGGAGGTGGACTGGATAGGACTGGGTGATCAGGTAAGGCAAAGAGCTGAATCAAGGATGACTCACTCACTTCCAGCTTTCTAATTCTGAGGACTATAGATGGTGGTGCCAGCAGCTGAGGGAGGGGCGGTTGTGGAGGTACAGGACAAGTTCAGTTTCGGACACGCTGAGTGTGGGGTGTGCCTGTGATATCCAGATAGAACCGCCTCGCAGGTGCTTGGATATTTGGGTCTAACATTGGTGGAAGAGATCTGGTCTGGAGATTTGGTAGTTGAAACCACGAGGTTGGAGGGGATCCCCTGAGAGTGGAGTGAGAAGAGCTATGGGTGTAAAGTGGAGACTTGCATTTAAGGTGCGCAGATTCCCAATGGGCGTCACTTAGTCACTTAAGGATGTCACCTAAAGGAGGAAGAGGCCTTATTTACAGAGATGTGAGAATTGGGAGGCTAGATTGCCAAGTGCTGATAAACGAAGAGGTGGAGACGGCCAGGGTAGACCACTGGCTGGAAGCTAACTGGAGAGGGCGCTTCGAGGGGAGGGCTGGCTGGGTAGTTTTGTTTGTAGGACTCGAGAGAGAGACTTGAGCTTGTTTAAAGGCTGAGGGGAAACAGCCAGGAGCCAAGGACCTGGGAGAGGTGGAGGAGGCGGCTTTAAGGGTTGGACTCCACGGAGACAAATCCTCACTGTTTGCCCAGCACTTCCACGTGCCCTATCCCATTTAATCATTTGAACACCTGTGAGATTTGAAACAAACGAGCAAGCAAGCAAGCAAGCAAACACTCGGTGAGACTGCGCCCAGGTGCTGGGAGAGGTGCGGACCCGTTCCAGCCCAGGTGCTGTCCACGCCGCCCGCCTCGCGCGGCACCGTCCAGCTCTGGCCCCGGGGGGCCCACAGCGGCGCTGTTGGGCTCAGGGGCGGTGTGCTGCCCCAGAGAAGGGGTGTCCCGAACCCGAGCCCGAGCGCTCCCCGCCTCCAGGGAAATGTCCCAGGCGGTGGGCCGGGGCGTCCCTCCCCTTTCTGGTGCTCGCCCTGCTAGGAGTGTGGTTAGCGGCAGGTGGAGCAAAACACC